ATGATTCTATGATTCTATGATTCTGAATGCACCATGGGAAAGAAGAGGTAACATGTATTTCTTTAAAATAAATATTTTGATAATATTGCTTTAGTCACATGTTGTAACCTATACATTTATGTAAAAAATTCTAAGTATTTCACACAAGATCTTACTGTCAAAGTATACCAGCCAGCTGGAAATCTATGCATACTGCAATTGCTCCTTGAAATAGCTACCAAGGTAAATACCATTAATGCATGCCAGATACAAAATCCAGGCAATCCCAACAGCATGCAAGCTGCAGGCCTTGAATTAATCAGTGTTAAGGATGTATTGCTTTATTCCAGTTTTATATTTATGTTTAATCCTTAGTTGAGCTTTCCTGTCATGGTCTTGTATTAGGAATGCCTGAGGAACTGCCACTATGGTAAGCTGTGGCTGGGAAAAGGGGTGGGTAGGTGTGCTGGTTTTGGCTGGGATAGAGTTCATTTTCTTCATAGTAGCTAGTATGGGGCTATGGTTTGGATTTGTGCTGGACACAGCGTTGCTAACACAGGGATGTTTTCGTTACTGCTGAGCAGTGCTCACACAGAGCCAAGGCCTTTGCTGCTTCTCACACCACCCCACCAGCGAGTGGGCTGGGGGTGCACAAGGAGTTGGGAGGGGACACAGCCGGGACAGCTGACCCCAACTGACCAAAGGGATATTCCATACTGTATGATGTCATGCGCAGCTTATAAGGGGCTTGGGGAAGAAGAAGGAAGAGGGGGACATTCGGAGTGATGGCGTTTGTCTTCCCAAGTCACTGTTACCCATGACGGAGCCCTGCTTTCCTGGAGATGGCTGAACACCTGCCTGCCCATGGGAAGTGGTGAATGAATTCCTTGCTTTGCTTTGCTTGTGCGCACGGCTTTTGCTTTACCTATTAAACTGTCTTTACCTCAGCCCATGAGTCTTCTTTTACCCTTCCAATACTCTCCCCCATCCCACTGTGGGGGGAAGTAGCGAGCTGCTGTTTGGGGCTGAGCTGCGGGCTGGGGTTAAACCATGACAGTAGGGAGCCCCAATTTGTCAAGGTGCAAACGTTACCCATGTGTGGAAATCACATAATGGTGAAATAGGTACCCCAGGGATGGGGAGGAAGAGCTCTATTTCTTGCCTCATTGTGAAACTTATGGGCTCAAAGACTTTTCCTGCCCAGAGAAACTGGATGAGCATGAGGGGTTCAGGCCTGGGCTGGAGGCTGCCACCAAGGCAGCGCCCTCGTTGCAGATTGCAGAATGCCATCACGCAGTCATCTTCTGTGAGATGTGCTCATGCAGGAAAGCATCTCAGGTGCACTCCCAGTCTTTGGACAGGGACCCCTCTTAACAGTTCCCTGCTCTCATCTGCTTTCCTGCTTTGCACTTCTGATTAATTTGAAATTAGGTCATGAGCAGTGGGATGCAAGACCAGCAGAGCTGGAGCAGAACACCACAGCTTATGAGAGAGAAGTTAATAAATAAAGGCAACAGAAGTTATAGATATGCATGTACATAGGTACAGTACCAAATACAAACTAAGAAATTATTTTTACCTTATTTTGTATGCTGATTTCATACTGAAAACACTTTGCGTTTTCCACATGACTTGTGCGGGGTGGTTGCCATGTAATTATGCAACCCGTTGTATCTCTAGTACAATTGACAGTGATATTTAATGGAGGAGTGAGTATTTCTGGAAAGAAATGAAATAATTAATGTAGACATGGTCAGTAATCAGTTAGAACTTGTGTTCAGAGCAAAATACATGTGAAGTTGAGGCAACTGATGTACAACTGTGTACTACTGATGTTAATAAATGCTATCTAGTAAACAGGAGTAAAATACAGTAGCAAAACTTGGGAATGTATCACTTCAGTTTTTTGACATCTGAAGTAACTGAAGTTTGTGTAAAAAAAGTATGAAGGACTTCTTTGTGTAATTCAGTAGTAAAATCACCAGAGTGATTTTACTAATTTTCATACCAACAATACAAGTCTTCATAGGAGAAAAGATGGAAGCTTTTGTGTGTGTGTCTTAGTATTCAAGGTAGAAGATCAAGTCATCGGAATTTGAGTGCCTACAATATAGTTGACTAAGTGTGACCTAAGTGCCTAACCACTATGGCCAGCTGAGACCTCATCAGTAGTGCCCACAATGTCTGCAAAGCCGTCCGGTGTACCATGGAGCAGGCATGCTCGGCTGAATAGCTCTGGGCTTTACAGCCTGCATCGGCTGCAGGCAGGAGCGGCTGCAGGGGGGAGCCAGTCTCATGCTGTGCATCTCAGACCACACAGGACACCCAGGAGGACCCTGGTCTCTCACAGGTCCTGGACCACATCTGCAAGCCTTGTAAATGCCTCAAGTGACTGCGGGTGTCTCAAATGGCACTAGAGGCATGTTTTTAGGCAACTGAATCCTGTCCCAGATCTCTATCAGAGCAAAACCACCTAGCTCATGCATAGGTACCCACATATTTAACTAACGCAGTCTTAATTTGGAAGTTGAACCCTCCCTCAGGTTTCAGGACACGTAGCTCTTGCAGCTCTCAGAGAGGTGTGGAATTAGGGAATGGCAAAATGGGCCCATCATAAAGGTGGCCTCAAAAGTCTAACCATTGTGTTTCATCACTTGGATTCCATGGATATGTTCACACCACTTCTCCGGGCCATTATTTCAGGCTGCCTCTGCCTTTGCTTGTTTTAGTCAATTTTTGGAATTATATTCTGTCAGCTATCAGGAGCGAAGTCTGTCCTGCAGTGAAGAATCTTGAGATGGCTACAGGCTTTGTTTCATTCTTCTTTTCTCTTCAGAGAAATATTCTGCACTTCTTTATTTTATAAAACAGTAATAAAATAAAAATGTTCACTTACCAATTTCATACAGTTCAATGTACTCATCATAGAACTGGATCAGGGAGTCTTTGCTAGACCCATTCACCAGGAAGTAAGCTTTTTCAGTCTCTATCTTCACATTTTGGAATCTACATCCCGTGTTCCTGCCAGTTTCATCTTTAATGTAAAGCTCACATTCCATCTCGTCAGCATATCTGTACATAGCAAGGTATTTTAGTTAAATGTGGGCAGTGTGATGTGTCAAATGAGAATTCAGACTTCCCTAGACTCAAGCAGACCTACTTACTTCGAGTTCTGCCAGTAGAGAAAATATTGGGTATCTCCTGGAGCATCCCTGCCCGCTTGCCAAGTGCAGTTCATGAAGGAAACGTTATAAATCACACAGGAGAAGTTTTCAATGGCCGACCCATTCATGCCTGCAAACACAGGAATGCACATGATGAGCAGGAAGCCCCATGATGAGGAAAAACCTTGTGGTTGCTCCAAGCTGGAGGATCTTAGCACACGCCCAGATATGTTAGACACCTGCAACTGCAGCTGTTATTGCTTGGGTTAGGCATGACAACTGCGAGAAAGCTGGACTCTCACCTTATTTAGACTGCCTCTGAACTGTGAAACCTGGGAATGAGCAGAACATTCACACAGGTAAAGGAAGGCACATTGCCTTTTAACACCATCCTTGGTGCTATAGAGAGAAGTATTTCTCCTTTTAAAATTAATGGTCAGGAATCCACTCCTGAAGCGCTTACACACAGTGTTTAAAAAGCTGGGATTTTAAAAGTCAGGTGGGGCTCTCTAATCAAATAGCCTCCTAGCTAGAGCTTTCCACCCTGATATGAGAGACAGAGATTTGATCTCTTCCTTTTCTGGAGCACACTGAAGTGGGTTTCTTTGGAAGCTCCCTCACGGCCGGGCTGTGCAGGCATGCTCTGCCTCCTTCTCTCTTCAGCCAATTTTCTGCTTCATTCTGCTGCATGCCCCAACTTCAGCGAGAGGGTGGAGGCTGGTGCTGCCTCCAGCCCCCAGGACTGAGGGCACCCTTGTGGAAGAAGGGAGGAATTCCCCGGGGAACTTGCATGCTTGGAGGATAGGGCCAGCTGGGGAGGAACACGAAAAGCAAGAGGTTTCAGGAGGCAGTGTGTCCTGGCTTGTATTTTGAGGGTCACCGTGAGACTGTTTCCTGCCAAGTCCCCAGGAAGAGATGAGTAGGGAGTACTTTCTCTGTTCAGATATGAGCAAGCTGCTAATCTCATCACCTCTGACAAGTCTGAAATATGCCAGTTACATTTGGCTGCAGGAGCAGTGGTGACTGGGAACTTTTGTGGAGAGCTCTGAGTTCAGAAGGAAGGGGAAAACAGGTTGCAAAAACCTCAAGTTTGGCATTATGAACCTAGGATCTGCCTAAATCCCACTCTGATGAACTCCCACATGGGGCAGGCTCAGAGTATCTTTGTAAACAATTGCCGCAGCTCAGTGGGTGCACAGCAGCTGAGGGAACCCACGTGTGCGTGTGTGCGCGCGCGCGCGTGCACACCACGGCCAGATCAGGAGATTGCTACATTCGGTTTGCCCCTAGCTGCTTATCACTGACACTTCCTTTCCTGTCCTCCTCCCATCTTATGGGTTCACTGATCCCCAGACTGTGCCGTCAGCTAGCTCTGTGGTCTGGCTCCTGACAAACTCACCAACAGCCCAGCAGAAAAGCATTTAATAAAGAAATGGGCGCTAACATCTTAATTTGTAACAGCCCCAACAGTTATTTGAATCCACCCTTAAACCACTGTAATTTAGTGGCATTTTGGAGCCCTACTATGAAAGAGAATAATGCAATTACTGATACATTTGTAATAATGCATCTCTTGCAGAATTGCGGAAACGTTCATTACAGAACAAATAATTTTAGCAGATCATCAAAAAATAATTTTTAATAGAAAATAAAGCAGTTGCCTCCTGTGTAAGGAATTATTTTCTAAGACAATGTTTTCCTTGAAAAGATTGCAAATGGAGAAAACCTCACCCAGAGCATAGACATTACCTCCAGGGAGAAAGGTGCAGTTTTTTGAGATACTTGTGTTTGTCACTTCAATGATAAAGAATACTCCTTTGTGTAGAGGCACGTCTTCTTTCACTGGAAAGCTGCATAGTGAACTATTCACCTGAAAAAGAACATGTTAATGTTTTATTTCTCTGTTTTTCCTCTGCTGGTGTTAGATGATGCTGGCTATAAAAGTGCAACTCAGAAACTCAATTTTTAGGGCCAAAATCTTGTGTGTATATGTATGTGTTTTAGGTTCAAGAGCTGACCCTCTCCTTTACTACTTAAGGGTGATGTAGAATGGAGCTGAGTGATCAAAAGCATAACTACACAAAAAGGTTTGCAACTCAGGAGTTGGATGCTACACTAGTGTGCAACTATTAGAGAAGGCTAATAGTACCCCAGTGGTGTAACAGAAGATGGTTAATAAATGGGGGAACCACAATGGAATTTAATCAAAGGATTAAGCAAAATAGAAGTCCTCGTCTGACCTCCCCAGGGGTCAGAAAGTTTACTATGGCATTATACTTATGATCTTCAATAAAGATGTGATGTGTTTTTGTAAAATGTATTTCTAATTAAGGCATCTGCTAAGCTAAATAAGCCATCTCTCTCTCTCTTTCTGTCAAGCTTCCTACTTTTCTCTTTGGATAATGTGGACTTATAACATAACCTGTGCTACAGGCATGATCCAATTTACCGGGAAACAAGTGAAGAACTTGAGATGATGAAAATCCATGACAGTGTTTGGGCAATTCACTTTTTATTTGAAGGGTCTCTTGCTCTGTCTCTCTAAATTCTCTAGGAGTCTCACAGTCCCTTTTTTTCAGCAGCTACATCCCTATTCATGATTCAACATAGCTACAGTTCAAGCTATTGACTCCTTTCCACTTTGGTGCCAGATCTTCAGTTCTGTGGTATGCATGGGATGCTCCTCCTGCAACAGATACACCCTGGCAGTGGTGACGGCTTTCCACAGACCCTGGCAGATCAAGCTGTAGACTGCAATCACTGATCAAATTTTACCTACAACTGATTCATTTTTTCAAAGTGAAATCGATAAAAGGTAAAGAAAAAAATTGCAATTATTTATCTCAAAGAAAAGCAGGTTTACCATGTCTGTAAATTTCATGGCCTTGTTCATGATGGTACATTTGTAGTTAGAGAAATTCTTGTTGCTCTCCCAGGAGAGTTCCATTTTTTTCCAATTCATTTTCACATTCGTAATAGATGATTCTTGTGGCTCTGCTGCAAGTGTTACAGAAGTTCAGTAAGAATATGCTATTGTTTTTGTTGAATGCAGAGGATAGTATCTGTCAGGCTTAAGATGACAATTGCCAGATTAATTGCAAATATCTCTGGTAAATGAAGAATTAAACCCTGTTTCTCAGATTATATTGCAAAAATGTACTTACACCCCATACACTGGATGTCAGCATGCAAGGGATAAAATAGCATCATACACCACCAAATCAGGCAAAGGAGTCCAAGCATATCAAACATCTTTTCTTCTTTTGAAAGACACAATAAAGCCTACAGGAGAAAAAAAGAAAAAAATATGCCAAAATGTACTTTGATTTCTGCAAAGCTTCATTTTTTTTCCTCATGGGAAGAGTGAAAGATGCTGTCTAATTCACATCTAGAAAATATTCTTTAGAAAAGCCAGAGGATGTGCTTCAGGATGTCTTCTTTGAAAGAACTGAATAGGCTCACTATTGTCTATTACAGCACAGCAGTTTGAGAAAGAGACCACAGACTCTCATGATACATGGTACATTCACTGTATTTGGTGTAGAGACCATGACTTAGGATTACTGTTGTCCCATCTGAATTCAGATGCTTTTCCATTATCCTGAATATCCCAAATAGCAGCATGTATCATAAACTTGATGACACTTCTGTCAGTTCCTGACTAATCTGAATGAATTTTTCATTTTTTATATGTGGTCCTTCACTTCTCAACTCTTTTAGTGGAAAACTGAATATACTAAAGAATGCCAGTTGTTAGGTGTGGTTTACAGTATCTAACTATTAAATAAAATACTTTTTTCTACACTTTATTTGTTATTATTTGTTTTGGGTCCAGAAATTGTTGAATCTTACTGTGGACATTATGAAACTTTGAGGATGTCTGCTCTGTAATCAAAACATGATGCTAGCTCATAGAATATGTCCATAAAAATTTTAAACTAATATAACTAGAGTGATACACAACTGAACTTGGGCTATAAAATATGCTTGAGCGGCTAGGAAAAAATGCTGAACCTGCTTAGAGCTATTTTAGACAATGTGACTCTCAAGTCTTCATGTACAGTTCATTTACATAATTACAAACAGTACACACCTTCATTCTTGGCATTTCCGGTCCTCTGCACCTGCAACTTTCTGTAAGTTATCAACATTTTCTAGAACCTACTTCTGTCTTTGTGTGTTTTTCAGTCCAATTTCCCAAAATGAGATAGTATATGTTAATGATCCTTTTCGATGAGGAATGCTACAAAAGACGAGATATTTTTCAGTGTTTCTCTTCCCTCTTGACTTGCCTCCATTATGTCTTGATAATGAAACAGACCTATTAGCATACCTGTGGATATCCTGTGGGAGATGAATTTTGATATTAAGACATCTAAAAGTATCTACACGTGAATATTTACATAAGCGCAAGTTGTTTAAACTCCTGATATAGTCAATGGACATCTGGTTGAATTCCATTCACTGCTTCTGGTATGCATAACTAATTTCTCACTACTTGTTTTAAAGCCTTAGACTATTGCTACACAGAAGTCTTATTAAGCTTTTTAGTGTCTTCCTATTTTTTATATACCTGATTTTCTGTTTCCCTCTGCGGAGTTTCTTTGGTTTGGAAGTCTTTTTCATAAAGATGTTTTTTAAGCAGCAACCAAATCTTACACCTGGTCAGGTTTCTTTTGTCCTGTTTTATCTTTTCTTGTCTCTCACAAAGTGTGTGACTATTGTCTCTGGTGAAGCAGTGTAAAGACCATGTGTAGGAGGCTATGCCTCCCCTTCCAGGCTGTGTGAGTGTAGGAGAGGGTTGCCACTGCTATCATCTGGTTCAACAAAGTAGTTCATGGCTGTGCTCTCACGTGTTGTCTTTCTCTAGTTTAAGAAACACTTGGTTCTGGCTGGGCTGGCTTTAACTTTCCCCATAGCAGCCCTCATAATGCTGTGCTTTGTATTGGTAGCTAGAAAGGTGTTGATAACACACCAACGTTTTGGCTATTTCTGAGCAGTGCTTGCACAGCATCAAGGCTGTCTCTCCAATCCCCCACCCAAAGGTCAGTAGGCTAAGGATGGCCATAGCCAGGACAGCTGACCCCAACTGACCAAAGGGGTATTCCAGACCATATGACGTCATGCTCAGCAATGAAAGCTGAATGCAATAAAGCTAGGACCTCAAAAGAACTTCAGAAAGATCACAGCTGCCAGCCAGGTGAGCGGATTGCTGCCTGCCTGCTCCAATGCTGGGATAGCTAGTCAACAGTCAGGAATTAAAAAATAAGGATCTTCTTGCAAGGGACTGGGGAATTGACAGAAGAAATGGAAAAGAGGCAACAATCCACAATCTCTGGAGGTGGCTTCTGTCAAGCATGAAGGCAAGATATCCATTCAAGGGAGACCTTGTGAATTACCAAGGAAAGTGGACTACCACTGAGGAACACATCTGGCACCTGAGAGAATTAAGTGCTGGAAGTCATCTATAGTGACCTGGATGATAACCAGGTCTCCAAAGATCTGAATGACTTTCTATGTATGTGGAGGCCATGTGGAGGAAGGTGGTCCAAAATGCACCAGCATGATACTCCAACAGCTCAGTGATGATATATTGCTCAGATTTGGATACATCAACTCTGGAGAGAGCATCTTCCTGGCTTTGAAATTTTGAAGAAAATCTCTCTCCCTCCTCATTCCCATGGGCCACCCCATGGACCCAGTCCCCTCTGACCCTGATCATAGGGAAAGGGAGGCCCAGATGCATGCCACATGGCACTTTCTGGTTCTTTCTGTGTGACTGGGGGGAATGACATGGGGAAGTCTGATGGTGAGCCATTTTTAAACTGGAAGCCAATGTATGTGAACTGAAGGGGAAGGCAGCTGCTAAGAAGGGGTCACCCAAGAAGGTTGTCTGCTTAGCTACTGTTGAGACGGAAGAAGGCAATCGCGATCCCTCAGATGCAGAAGGATAGAAATAGCTTCCCTTGATTCTGGTGAAGGGACATCTGATCTGGCACTGTAAGGGTCAGACAGTGAATGCTCCAACCAGGAATAGAGGGTCTCTGCCTTTGGCCAGGAGAAAGAAAGGGATGACTGGGTTTACTGGACTGTGTGGGTTCATTTGCCAGGCATATCAGATCCTCAGAAGTGTGAGGCTTTGGTGTCATCAGGGTATAAGGGCACAGAACCCATCTGGATTTCTGGAGTGACAGGGGTATCTCAACAGTTGTCTGTACTGGGGGCTGAGGTAAGCTTAGCAGGGTCAAGTGGCAAAAGCACCCTACTGTTACTGGCCCAGATGCCCTGGGTATCCTTAGCATAGACTACCTCAGGAGATGGTACGGACCCAAAAGGGTACAGATGGGCTTTTGATGTCATCAGTGTGAATACAGAGGAGATTAAACAGCTGTCTACCTTACATGGCTTCTTGAAAGATCCCTCCATTGTGGGCTTGCTGCATGACAAAGAATGACAGCACATGCCAATTCCTATCATGATGGTGCACTGATGGCAATATCACACCAAGTGAGACTCCCAGTTCGCATCCATGAGCTGATTCAATTGAAGAGCCAAGGAGTGATCAGTAAGACTCACTCACCCTGTAATAGTTCCATATGGCCAGTGCAAAAATGATGGAGGGTAGAGGTTAACAGTGGCCTATTATGGCCTGAACAAAGTCATGCCACCACTGACTGCTGCTTTACCAGGCACGTTGCAACTCTAATACGAACTGGAGTTGAAGGCAGCCAGGTGGTATGCTACAACTGATATTGCCAATGTATTTTTTTCAATTCCTTTGGCAGCAGAATGCAGGCCACAGTTTGCTTTCACATGAAGGGGTGTCTAACACACCTGGAATCAACTGCCCCAGGAGTGGAAGCACAGTCCTACCATTTGTCATGGGCAGATCCAAACTGCACTGGAACACGGTGATGCCCCCGAACAACTGTAGTACACTAACGACTTCACTGTGTGGGGCAAAAAAAGGAGAAGAAGTGTTTAAGAAGGGAAAAAGAATAATTTAGATCCTTCTGAAAACTGGTTTTACCATAAAAAGAAGCAAGGACAAAGGACATGCACAGGAGATCCAGTTCTTGGGAGTAAAATGCTAGGATGAACATCACATTCCTATGGATGTGATCAATAAAAGTTATGTCCCCACCAGGTAACAAGAAGGAAACACAAGCTTTCCTAGGCTTTGTGAGATTCTGGAGAATGCAGATGGGAAGCAGAGGATAAAGAAGAGGGTGAGTGAGAGAGCAGCTTGGTGGGCACCTGGTGTCCTGCCAAGGTCAAATCGCCATAGTATTTTTTACTGTTTGCTATCACAAATGGCTCTCCACTTTTCAAACTAGATTAACTCCCTCTGTCCTTAGAGGTTTACATCCCTCACACTAGAACAGTCTACTTCAAATTTTTGCTGTGTCAGAAACCAAGGAGTCAGGTGTTACAGATCACTCTAGGAAATTTAAATTACTAAGGCAGTGTGAGTACCTGCAAAGGCTGAGTCCACATTCATTCATGTGGTGCGGAGGTCTGAGCAGAGCTAGTCAAACACTGGCATCAGCACTTGTCAAACATATCTGTGTCTAAGGTACCATTTTCCTTTTCTCAGAGGAGGGTAAATCTCTTTGAAGAGATTTTTCTATTCCCAGCATTTGTTTTCCTGTTTGTTTGGGGTTTTTTTCTACTTGAAGAAGCAATATTGGTTAATGTTTTGGGGTTTTTTTCTTAGTGTTTCCTAGTAGTGTGACTTCCTAGTAGCAATTTTCTTGATTGCAGGTATTTCTAAGGTTAATTCTAAGACTGTGAGGTAAATTCTTACCAACTCAGGAAAAAGAGAAACACGGTAATATTTTGTTACTTGTCTGTCCTTATATATTAATTTTTATGGTCATTTCAGAGTGCCAATTCCAGACTGACTCCGTTTGTGGTGAAAGCAAAAACATAGCCAGACTCTCCAAACAAGCTGGAGTCTTGAATATTTCAAGGAGGCATCTCACATTTCATGGAAATTGGCTTGAAATGTCCTGTCATCATGATCTCCAGGAATTAAGCCAGAGCAGGAGACCAAGTCGGGGTTGCAACAGAGACAGACTCTTCACTGTAGCCTGATTCTTCTCTGCTTATCTTTTGCAGTATCAATCTTTTCTTTGTAAATCATCATGCTACAGTAAGGATGTGGCCACAGCTGCTGGGAAGTGATACTGAAGAATCTTAAGTACAAACAGTATGGAGGACTGGCTGTGAAATGCTATGTGAAACATTGG